ATTATTGGTTGAAGGAAAATTTCCGTTATCATGGATTTCATATAAAGAGTTTATGGATGTTGAAAAAATAGGACAAGGTGGATTTGCAACAGTATTTTATGCCGGATGGCTAGATAAAGAACAAAATATAGAGAGAGATGTCGCACTCAAATTATTCAATGGATCGAAGTCTTATAATAAAGAATTTATAAAAGAGGTGATTTTTATTTATACACTCATTATTTTCTTTAATAATTTTAAATACTGCATTAAATAATTTATTCTTTAATTTATCATTAAAGTTAAAGGCGTATTGTGATATTAGTTCTAAACATACTTCATTTTTAAAATGTTATGGAATATCAAAAGATGATTCTGGAGATTTTATCCTTGTCCTAGAATATGCAAGAAAGGGTTCTTTGCGTAAAAATCTTCGCTCGGTAGCAGAAATGAAATGGAAAGATAAATTATTATTATTGCATTGTATTGCTTAAGATCTTCAAATAATTCACTCTCAAGAACTTATTCATCGAGATTTGCATAGTGGTAATATACTACAAGAACTACAAGATAATTTACATAGCGCTTATATTTCAGATTTGGGGCTTTCTATATCAGCAAATATAGCATTAAATTCAGAAAGACGCGGAATTTATGGAATTTTACCGTATATAGCACCAGAATCTTTAGATAGAGGTTATTATTCAACAGCATCAGATATTTATTCATTTGGCATAATTATGTGGGAAATTTTACACGGAAAAGCTGTATCTTATAATCGAGAATTTGGACAAAGGCTTCAAATTGAAATATGCCGTAATGATTTACGACCAACAATTATTGAGAATACTCCACACCGTTATATAAGTCTGATGAAGAAATTCTGGGAAAGGGAAACAGTAAACCGTCCATCGGCACTAAAAATCTGTGAAATCATTACAGAATGGATGAATGACGAAAATATTTTATTAGAGCTAAGTAAATCGGATGAAGTATTAAAAAATATTAAAAGTACTGTCATGATTGAAGATTGATCGTCGATATATTCTAACCGAATTAAGCGATCGATCGCATATTTGTTTATAGCGATAGTAGATCGGGTAGATTTAGTATATAGAGTAGATTTAGTAGATTTAGTAGACGTAGTAGATGTAGTAGATTTAGGAGATTCAGTAGATATAGCATATTTGGTAGATATGCAAATATTATATATATTCAGCATTTATTATAATGAAAAAGTCAGATTACACATCTCCCGAATTAATAAAGATACTTACCCGGCCAAATCCACACCTCTTTTGAGGGTGGTATTTTATCGTTTATTACATTTGGTGGTTGGACTGTGAGATTCGAAGCCGCAATACTGTGTGATTGCGCAAAAACTGGAACCTGCGTGGTTAAACGTTGAAGCCTAAACTCTGTGTATCTTAACGACGAATTGAAACCCTGTGTGATTGAAGTCTAAACTCTGTGTGATCGAACGAGAAGTTTAAACTCGTGTGTGTTAACATCAGGGTTGTTGGTGGTAAATTTACCACTAGTAAATTACGGTAATTTACCAGGTAATTTACCAAAGGTGTGGTAAATTTACCGTTATATATTTAAGGTTGAGTCTGTCTATGTAATTTGATTGGTCAAAAAATTTTTTACTGTATAACCGCGAAATAATGCACAGGGGTGTTATTTTGAATTTTGGCCCGAATTAAGCTTAATTTAGGCCGAAAATTAAAATCACACCCCTGTGCATTATTTCGCGGTTATACAGTAATCATCAAATTTTATGTTGCACAAGCACTTCTTAAGAATAACTAAGGGTAAATTTACCGGTAATTTACCAAATAGCCTGGTAAATTTACCAAAAAAAATTAAAAATTACGGTAAACCAACAACCCTGGTTAACATCGAATCTGAAACACTGTGTGATCGAACGTTGAAGTCTGAAACTTGCTGAACCAAAGGTGCCAAGCATTGAAAAGCAAGAATTAGTATTGAGTTGATATTCAAGGGTCTTATTAATCAGAAAAAAAAATAAAAAATCGAATACTTTAAAGCGAAAGAGCCCCAGCAAAGTTCCCAGAAAATTAATTGGAATAAACGCTGACTCTGATCAATTTAATCAAATAAACTCTCTATTGAGTAATCAAGTTGTAAATCAATTAGTAATCAGTCAATTGATATATATAAAAAAAAAAAAAAAAGAAGAAAACTTAACTTAATATTGCTCAGTAACATAACTAAGGAGATACGAACTTGAAAACACAACAACATCCAAGAAACACAAAGAACCTATGATACGAAGGATAGACCACAAAAGAATAACCAACGAATTTAAAAAAAAAGAGAAAGAAAAATTGACAAACAAACAATCTAAAACTATTACAAAGGATGGAAGACTGGAATGATTTAGTTTTGGTAGTAAAAATGGTCGTAGAAATGCTGAATAAATTGATAGGAGATGTCAAAATGATACAAGATATGCAACGACGTTGCAAGCCCCGAATATGCTACGAATGTTGAAGACCAGGGTATAATGCTCATTCATGCCCACATAAAACCCAGAGAAAAGAATCGAATAACAATGAGTATGAAGTAGGGTATGTGTAATTAAGAAAAAACTTGGTGAAAAAAGATGTCAAAAAAAGGAATCATGACGATTTGAAACGTAATAGAGTAACCAAAGTGGAATTAAAAGTTGATAGAGGAAATAAGGAAAATAATAATCAAAGATTAAAAAACAAATCAAATGAAACGAAAAATAAAAGTTCAAAGAACAAACCTGAATGTCTGAATGAAAGAAAAGTATCCAAATATCGTCAAAAATCAGCAGAGACAAGTCATGCCGATGAAACATATAAGAGTGAATATTGTGATGAAAAAGGAACGGGAACTGAAAAAGATGATCGTAAGGTATTCAATTATAATCAGAAGCTTTCTGATAGAGGTCATACCAATGGAACAAACATGGTTACAAATCACTATGAGTATGGAACTAGTTCTAAAAGACCTGTTGAAGAGGAGCGAAAAGAATTCGAATGGTATTTGAAAGGTGATGAAGATGATTCTAAGGGAATGTATCGTATTATCTCATGTTATGAGATTGAAATCGAAACTATAAAGGATGAGAAGGAGATGTTTGAATGGTATTTAACATTGGCCAAAGAGGATCATAAGACATCTGAATGTTGCAAGAAATCTGCTGATGTAGATAATAGTGATGAAACATATAAAGGTGGATATTGTTATAAAAACGGAACTGGAATCGAAAAGGATAGTTGTAAAGCATTCAATTATTATCAAGAACCTGCGGATATGGATAATACTTTTGGAAAATCCAAACTCAGACTCTGCTATCAAAGTGAAATTGAAGCCGAAGACAGAAATAAACCATTCACTTACCATCAAAAATTAGCAGATATGGGCAATGCTAATGAAACGTGCAATCTTGGTTATTGTGATCAAAATGACTATCGTGCAAATAGCAATGTGACTTATGTAATGGTGGGTCTAACAGTGGCTAGTCTAGATATACGCGAGTTCAGATAGTCACTATGAAAAGACAAAAACTACCAAAAACCATACAACAAACCAACAATAGTGAGGTGGTTTAGATTTGGTAAGGGAAAAGGCTTTAGTGTTGATTTATTATAAGTTTATATGGAAACGAAGGTTCACTACCAAAAATGTCGAAGTTTTTATTTGTACAAGATTGAATTTTTATTATTGAACTTCGGAACTGAACTGCTCTTTTGCCAGAGTGATTTACAAGTCTACTTATAACAAAATTGATATATTTTGAATGAAAAAAAATAAGAATAGAACTATAGCTCCTTATCACGTCGTCTCGTCTACTTTTCAGACGATCTTTGGATAATTAGGCCATCGCTTACACGATTGTAAACATTCATCCCACATGGCCACACGATTTCCTGATTTATCTTCATTTGGCTTGCTTTACTCATCGGTGTCACTGCCTCATCTAGCCTTTTTGGAAGATGCTTGGTTAACATTTTAAACCAGGTGGCCATCCCATGGTTTTCTCCTTATGCCTCATCCGGGAATGCACTAATCCATGGTCCCGGGACTTTCTAAATGCTAATTGTATTATAGATGCAATCATAGCATCTTTCTGATTCTTTTGCGACTTGCTTTGATCCTTTTACGCTCCTGAGGCTACTTCAGGCTTAGTTTATTTAGAGGCTTTGCGGGGAACACATTTCTCCCGATTTCCTGTCGATTTAAAAAGGAACTTGAATCAGGTCCTAGTCACGTTTTTAGGTCCCGTGATGGTGGTTTTAGTGCCACAGGAACCACCGGTTTAACATCAACAATGGTCATAAACTTATACAATAATATATTGATGTTTTATACGAATAATTTGCTGTGTTGTGTAATTTACAATCTTCACTGATTGAAAATAACTTAAGTCTTTTTTAATGCAATTAGTTACTAAACTTATTATTGTTATACTACGATTAGAAATAGATAAATTTGATGTCGATAATAAAAATAAGGAAAAATAAACTTCGAATTTATGAAAATTAAATTTCATGAAGAACTTTTTTCTTCAATAATACTATGGAATAATACAGATATAACTTTCTAGGTCATCAAATATTGAAAGCTTACATTGTGATGAGCATTTAAACATTCTAAAGAATCCAAACACTTTCAGTATCTCAAATAAGTTAATTATGCTCTCAAAATCTTTTAAACCCTTTATGTTTGTATGGCTCAAGAACTTATTTATTTAATCAAATCGGAAATAATTTAGGAATATAATCAAAAGAGGTTTTACTAATCTATTCTATTATTTCTGAAGTGATTTTAAACAAAATTTTCTAACTCAATCCTCAAGACAAGATTTTGTTAATGAAAATTTCGGCGAAGAGTAATTTATAAATAAACAGAATTTAGCAGTAGGTAAAAAAACAAAAAAAAACACTTAGTAATTAAAGATATGTAAAACCAAATGGATTCACTCTGCAAAAAAACCCTAGGCTACAATATTGTGTAAAGTAGTCCTAATGAATGCCATATGTTAGAATGATTGCTCGATGAACAAAGTAAAAGTCCAGTTGGATGGAATCATTAAAATTTAGAGGGATTTGGGCAGGAGGCTTTAAATTATAATAAAAACAGCGTAATGATATGTTAATGACGCATTGATCTTGCAAAATATTTAACGGAGCTCCTGTACCATCTTGCATACCAAATTCAAACTAATAATCATTTATACATACATTAGAGATTTTAATATGTAAATAAAAAAAAAACAAATTACTGTAATCTAACATTACTGAAGTTCTATATGGAAATGTATTTCTTGTCCTTCTGTCTTCTATACAATAATACCAAGCCTACAATGAATTAAAATCTTCAGAATATTATAATAATTACACTGTGTAAATATAGTCTACCCTCATTCATTCGAACTGGCACTTGGCCTTTGGGAACAGGATCGATTTTAACAATAATAAAGTCATGGGCACAATCAGGACTTAACCAATATTTTAAAGTTTCTTCAACGTGATCTAATGGTTCAATATAGGCTACTTCCACAACCAAATTTGGCCACGGACGATCCTAAATCAAGAAGGTATATGAAATTACTAGCTTTAAAGTTCAAACTAAATAAAATAAAAAAAAAAAAACAGAAATTACACCTAGTGCTCGGCACAATCAAACAAAAATTTGACAGTCAAATACTTTATTGCAGCTCAACCAATACTATATATTTAGCTTTGTTTGATCAGCGATCGTTTGATGTCCGATAAATCACAAGTATCTGATTATCATATTTTTGTTTGATTGTGCCGAGCACCCATTTACGGCTGGTTTTATTGGATGAAATAAAGCATCAGTTACTTTTCCACAGTTTTTATCACATGTATCTTTAACAAATAAAATTAATATGATAACACACAAACATAGCAATATATTATATAATATTAATATTTACCAGTAGAGCCAATACTATAAATCTCAGCTGGTGTTCCTTCTAGATTTTGAAAAGCAACCATTATTTGTCCAACAATCTTACTGATACAAGCTTCGTGCAGCAGGGAAGGAAATTCGTAGATTATTACTTCACCATTCGACCATTCCCAGCATCTATGGATGCTAACTTTTCTACATGTTCTTCATAATTCTCTAGTGCGATACCCGTAGCAAGCACATATGGCAGGCTTAATATACCGTATAGTCGCGAAATAACGCGCAGGGGTGTAATTTTGATTTTCGGCCTAAATTAAGCTTAATTCGGGCCGAAGTTCGAAATAACGCCCCTGCGCGTTATTTCGCGGCTATACGGTAAATAATTTATATCAGCAACTGAGCTTAAAAATATGAACATTAAACAATAAACATATGGGATCTTTGCTAGGAAAATCACCCTTCGAGATTTTCCGATCGGGCAAATTCGGACAAACTTAGACCAGAATATCAGTTCTTATTTACATGTAATTCAGCCTTTACATTATTGATTCCATAGTTTATTTAATATACTATAGAATCAATAAAGTAAAAGCTGATTTACATGTAAATAAGAACCGATATTCTGGGCTAAGTTTGTCCGAATTTGCCCGATCGGAAAATCTCGAAGGGTGATTTTCCTAGCAAAGGTAGGTCCCATATATTACTTCATCCCATCTCGCTTTTTCGTTAAATTCTCCCTTATCCCACCACATGTTTCGATAATAGTTGTAAGCTGGCATTCTTTCTGGACTTTCTGACATTTTGATGGTTTGAAAAGATGGTTTACAATTAACGATTACAGTCATTTCCCATGACCAAACCAATAAAAAATAGTATATAAAATTGGCGCTAACCCACTTAAAGTCTAGTTCAAATTTGTAGTTTCGCTCACGAATACTTAGTGCAAGCAATGCCAGCATGTACAGGCTAACCAACACCACCTTTACTATGACGATATGGCACTTGCGGTTTGCATTTCCTTATTTTGTGTATTATTAGACGTTTGGCTTACTAACCTCTCTCGTATTTATTATACATTTTACTTTATCAAATTTATGACGCACAAATTATACAATAGATTCTACTTGAATGAAAATTACTGATCTACTACGTAATTATAGCATCATACGTACTGCAAACCAACAGCTAGAAACGCGATCTGTCATGTGATTGTGACACCATAAGATTCGTATTGTATTTCTGAAGTATTTGATTTGTGCCTTAACCTTCACAGTACAAGGTATATCAACACACAATCTAAGAAATGATCACAGCAAAACCCATCTCTACTTCCTCTAAGAATTAATTCAAATTTATAAGGTATTCTCGTAGAATCATCCAAGAATTTGTATTAAGTCTTTTCCAGACATTTGAAGTTATCAAATTAAAGGAACACAATTATTATGGGTGGTCTTTAATGCTAAAAAATTCTCGCTAGTCCATTTAGTGATATCGGAAGGCTGATCTGGAGTTTGTGCGCTTCCCATTGAATAATCCTATCTTAAATTTCAGATTATTCTAATTGTAAATCACTCACATTAAAGTTTACTAATGCATTTTCTTAAACAGAAGTCAATCATTTGAATCAAAGATCAGGTATGGATGTTCTACAAAGATACTTGTGCAAAAAATTTGTAGGCCTTAAAACGATTAACTTGAAAACTGGTAATATAGACTTGGATAAATTTATATATGGGTCAAGATACTGAAATTCTAATAATAATAACATTATGTTTATATTTATAAACGTTTAAGCAATTTTGTGTCTTTTTATGACATTGAAATTTGGAATTTAGATGGATTCAGGGTATTCAGGGTAGAGGAGAATTTTTCAGGTCACATAAAATCAGTAAAATTTCTTAAAGTTTTTTGAAGAAATTTTTTTATTAGACCACGAAAGGCAGATTTACAGTATATGTAAATTTTAAGATAAATACATCACCTTTGTTCTTCTGCTTATTTTACATTACACCAAATCATTTTATTGCAGAAGTGTCAATGTGCAAAATATTGTCACGACTCTGAAAATTGATCTGGCAATCTTAATGCAGTTATGTTTATTTGGTTATTTTAACAGAATCGTCATTTCATATGTTGTAAGAGATCTATCAATGCAAGTTGATCCTGAATTCACTTAAATGGATTTTGAATCTAATAATGACTTAAGAATTGAATATTAAAAGCAAGCAAATAAATTTTTTATTATTTTTCCCATGGTGTTATCCGGCAATTTATGATCATGATTGGTAATGAGTTTTAATTTTGAATACTGGAATAACCATAATTACATAGTAACGCATGAAAAAAATATCAAAAAAAAATTTTTTCATGATCATATGCATAAAATATATTATGTATCTTGTAAATTATAAAATTGGTCCAAATTCAAAAAAATTACCTATATTGACTTAAATGCTGATGTGTAACTGATTTGTAAGTAATAATTAATTTTTTTTGTATGATGTACGTACATTGTAAAAGGGCGGATTTGGGGCGACTAGTACTTGCAAAGGCTACTCGAAAGAAGGCGTGAAAGGTTTGGTCCGAGAACAAAGTATCCTACTGCCACTAGGATCCGCGGGTTTATTGTAAGATGGTCTTTATTATTATAACACTTCACTACTTTTCAAACTTTTCAAATACATGAAATCGAAGGTTATTTATATTCATACTCATTTACATGACTATGACATTAGTTCCTATCATATAGGCGCCTTACTATTGTTCTTCAGTAGAACTTCGCCTCAAGCCAAACCCGAATTGGCATTTATTAAATTCCTTCGTTTTGTCAATCAATGTGCATTAAGATGCCGAGTCTTATGGCTTAGTTTTGTTGCGCTGGGTCACGTAACCCCTTCACAACGTACGTACGTACCTGATTTGTGCCTTGTTTGCCATCTTCGACCTGTGTATTAAAATTGTAGGACGCATTATATTGTTAAAAACTTTAAGCCTATTATTTATACTAAGCCATTTTACAATGTTAGTTTATTTATTTAATTGCTAATTTTTAATATTCTCTCTGTCTTCAGATAAGTACGTAAGAAAATATAAATGGCTGTGTTTCTTATTATTTAACTTTTTTTTATTGATATATATTTCTGCTCTTGTTATTTCCAGCTTTTCACTCTATAGTTATATAAAATTAAATCGTTATAACTTATCGTTATAGCCACATTATTTAAGTCCATTGTTTTTAATAATAAACACGGCTGTTTATTTTTATTTTTTTTACACATGTACCTGAATGCAGAAAATATTTATTAAAAATTTAAGCATTTAAATATTTAATATAAAATGATTATAATCGATTCCAAAATATTTAAACGTCTGTAAAAACGATTATTGAGCTTCGCAAAAAGATGTGATCTCTGCAGTTCACAATGTCGTTTAAAAATCTGAGATTCTATAGAATTTAAAAATCTTTCCAATTTCAAATAAATATAAATTTAACTGATCGAAAGTATGAATTTACAGACAATTAGAGCCTCGAAATATTTCTTCAATACATCTGCAAAACTCTATAAAACGATTATACAGGAATGAGAATCGATTCTAATTGATTAATGATTAAACTGATTATTATAGTAGCCCTAGCGCTCTTTTGATTCAGTAATCGACATAACCTGGCACAAATTTCAGAATGCCACGGATGTTTTGCCTAACAGCTATAACCAATGTTGGAAATTTTTGCGACCAAACACTTTTATTTTGGTCTTTCGGCTGTTCAGCCACTTGAAGTAGCTAACGGCCAAATGTTTCTAACAGTGTAATATTGAACCAATCAGGTTACTGATTTTGTTATATAAATATTTGGTCATTTCGACCAAATAATTTTATAAGCCAGATACATTGATTAGCACAGTCAACAATCAACGTCATAAATTAGTGGTCAAATTTTCAAGTTTTAAATAACTATTGTATCAGGGATGGCAAATGACTAGTGACCAGACATTGGGTCATTTCACATTCAAATGATAATAGAAAGCCTTCTAACATTTGTTAAGTGATAATCATAGCAATATAAAAGTCAAAATTTATTTGTTCTCCTGAACAACTTTACTGAAGATGTAAGTATTAATTAACCTAGTAAAATTTTGACTTTAGTGAAATCATAGTGTTTGATAACTTTTATATTAGCTATCTGACCAATAAAATTAGCTCATATTTAATGACTTAAATGATCTAATGATCAGAATAAACAGGTCATTTAAATTTTGAGTAAATGGCTTGGTCATTTACCATCCCTGGATTGTATTTTGGAATAATGGTGTAAATTGTGTAATAAAATTTTGCATTTGGCATTATATATTGCAATGCGAGATGATAAAATAATGAACGATATCTTTAAATTTATTTATTGAATAAAATTTTAGAACATGATAGTACAGTAGAATAAATTTGAAAAATGAAATTTCAAAAGCAGATTTTATTGTTATCATTAAAGACTTTACTATAACGATAATTCGAAATTTTTAATAGAGCTATTGTAAACTGAGACCTAAAAATTTCGAAAAATGTGTAAGATTTTGAAAAAAAACATTACCACATTTTACAGATACCAGAAAATATATTTTTTAACAATCACATTAAACGTTTTAGTCTCTAATTACTACCGTGGGTTAAACTACAAAATTCCAATGAAAACAAAATTTCGACAATATAAAATCCTTACACTCAAATCCAGACAGCAAAAAATGATTTTGGTGGTGTCGTAATTTTTGTTTTAGGGTTTTGATTGTCGGAATCTTTCTAATATACAAATATTTAAGATTTAGGAATATTTGTATGTCACAAACAGATAATGATTGCAATCACTGGTCAGTCGTATGGGCCCTAATCTTTAAAGACATGAGGCTGCACTTAATGCTTGTCAGTACATCGTATCAATTAATATGTTTGTTTAATAAACAAATATAATTGTTTTGAGGATGACAAAAGGTTTTCTAATATAATAATGTGTTCAAACACAATCACATGATAAATTCCATTAAATTTTTGAATTTCAAAAAATTATCGTGTGCTCTTACCAAAATGAGTTCCCCAAAGTTGAGAAGCAGTCAACCAAAGACCAAACTAAGATATTAATTGATGTTCCACATGGAGGAAAAAAAATTTTTAATTGTGTTTTTTCACCAAATATGCAATATATTACGACTTTGAGTCACGAAGATCAATCAATTGTTGGATGGACCATAACAAAAGATCTCACTATTGAATATAATAATTCAGTAAATGCTAGTGATCTCAATTCTGTGTTAAGCGTCGATAAAAACGCGTATAAACTCGATATATTTGGAGTAAATAGAGATGGAGATTACAATGATGCATTAATAGGAATCTCTGATTGTAAACAAGTTATACTAAAATTAGATGAGAATGACACGATGAATTTTGATTTGGTTAGTTTAAATTAATTGATCAATGATATTTAATTATATTCTATATTAATCAAATTATTATAACAGTAATTATTGACATCGCAACTAAGTCAAGACAAATATTGAGTGCGCAAGGTTTGAAAGGAAAGATAGCAAACATTGCCTTTCTTGAAAATGGAGATTTAGCGATTGTTAAAGGAAAGCCAGTTTATCGGGCGTATATTTTTTCAAAATCAAAGTCTAAAGATTACCACCGATGGACATGTAAAAGTAGCATTGAACTCGAAAAATTTTATAAGTGCTTTATTTTCCAAAACGGAAAATTAATGATGCTTTTCGACAATCCCGATATAATCATGCAATGGAACTTAATAACTCGG